ATTTTGGCTTAAATTTATGACTAACTTTAAGTTTACGATATATTTTTTATAGCTGAAATTAGAAAATATTGTTTTTTTTCAAAATTTTCGTGGTTTTTTTGTTTATAGCGCAAAAAAAATAAAAAGCGCACAGGTGATCAAATACCACCAAAAGAAATCTCTATTTGTGTGAAAAAAAGGACGTAAATTTCGTTTGGGTACAGCATTGCATGACCGTGCAATTATCATTTGAATTAGTGCAGCGCTGTATAGCAAAAAAAAGGCATAAATTACAGCATCTATACCATAGTTTGTAGACGCTATAACTTTCACACAAAGCAATCAATATACACTTATTGGGATTTTTTTTACCAAAAACATGTAGCAGAATACATTTTGGCTTAAATTTATGACTAACTTTGAGTTTACGATATATTTTTTATAGCTGAAAGTAGAAAATATTGTTTTTTTTCAAAATTTTCGTGGTTTTTTTGTTTATAGCACAAAAAAATAAAAAGCGCACAGGTGATCAAATACCACCAAAAGAAATCTCTATTTGTGTGAAAAAAAGGACGTAAATTTTGTTTGGGTACAGCATTGCATGACCGCGCAATTATCATTTGAATTAGTGCAGCGCCAAACAGCAAAAAAAGGCCTGGTCATTAAGGGGGGTAAATCCTCTGGGGCTCAAGTGGTTAAGAAGGAAAAGGACGTCTGAGAGGATTCTCCCCCTTCCCTCACTTCTGAGGAGATTTTCCTCTTCCCCATTCTTCCCTATGTGTCTTTGTCCTTCGGTAAAGCTTTGGGCCTGTAAACTCTTTTACTCTCCCTTATCCCTCCTCACTTTTCCCCTTCATATCTGATGCTTATTGAAATATTTTGTACAGTGGCTTATTGTTGCAGTGCCATATAGAACATGCAGGCAGGAGGTCATTGCAGACACTGCACATCTGGCATTGTGCTGCTAGGTAAATTGGGGGAACCTTAGGGACCAAATTGCTTTGGGTAAAGCGGTGTCATGCATGAGGTGATGGTTCAGGGAACTTTGCTCTGCACTGCACTGCACATTAGGCATCATACTGCTTAGAGAATGTAATTTACTGTATGATTGGACTGTATTGTTATGTGATGTATATAGTAAATAGAATAGAATGGCTAGGATCAGGGGCGGACTGACCATTTGGAAACTAGGGCACTGCCCGAGGGCCCAGGGTCAGTAGGGGGCCCCATGAGATGCCCCTGGTACCTTTTTCATAGGCTTTTTTGAGTTTGGGCAAGGACACAGGGGCCTATGATCCTCTATTGCCCAGGGGCCCCATGAGTTGTCAGTCCGCCCCTGGCTAGGATATAGTGCAATGTCCCCTGGGAGGTACCTCTTAGCATAAGGCAATAAGTAAAGGTCTCTGTAGAGCAGCTGTAAAAGGCAGTGTTTAACCACTTGCCCTCCTGAGGATTTACCCCCCTTAATGACCAGGCCTCTTTTTGCTACTTCAACTGATAATTGCGCGGTCATGCAATGCTGCACCCAAATGAAATTTACGTCCTTTTTTTCACACAAATAGAGCTTTCTTTTGGTGGTATTTGATCACCTGTGCGCTTTTTATTTTTCACGCTATAAACAAAAAAAGACCCAAAATTTCAAAAAATATTTTCAGCTATAAAAAATATATAGTAAACTCAAAGTTGGTTATAAATTTAGGCCAAAATGTATTCTGCTACATGTTTTTGGTAAAAAAATCCAAATAAGTGTATATTGATTGCTTTGTGTAAAAGTTATAGCGTCTACAAACTATGGTATAGATACTGCAATTTACGTCATTTTTTTGCTATACAGCGCTGCGCTAGTTTAAAGGACAATTGTGCGGTCATGCAATACAGCACATAAATGAAATTTACATCCTTTTTTCCCCACAAATTGAGCTTTCTTTCGGAGGTATTTGATCGCCTGAGTGGTTTTTATTTTTTGCGCTATAAAAAAAAAGCTGACAATTTTGAGGAAAAAAACAATATTTTGGACTTTTTGCTATAAAACAAGTCCAGCAAAAAAAAAAATTGCAAAAACAAATTTAGTCATAAATTTCTGCCAAAATGTATTCTGTGACATGTCTTTGCTAAAAAAAAACCCCAATACGTGTAAATTAATTGGTTTACGTGAAAGTTATAGCGTTTACAAATGGCGGGAAAGAGACTGGGATTTTTAATTTTTTTTTTATACTAATAATGGCAGCAAGCAGCGACTTATGGCAGCGATCAGTGACTTATGGCGGGACTGTGGCGGACATTCTGACACTGGTGGGGAACTGACTTGGGGTCACTGACATCCCCAGTGACACCAATATATTGCTCAGTGCAAAAAAAAAAACACTGACACTGTACTAATGGCACTGGGGAGGAAGGGGTTAACTTTTTTATTTACTGAAAGGGTTAACTGTGTGAGGGGAGTGTTTTACTAGGGGGCGGGGGTGTTTACTGCAGGGGAACACTCTAATCCAGAGAGATAAACTCTTCTCTCCGGATCAGCATGTCAGGAGCTGACAGGGGACTGACAGAAAGCATGGCTGCAATGTAAACATCACGGGGACACGGTAGGTAATGACCGGCCGTGACCCAGCAACTGACACCCGCGGCCACGATTGGCGGGACGGGTAGGGCAGGCACGCACCTCGCGCGTGCCCCCTACCTGTTTTGCAAACGCACGTTTTAAAATATGGTTTTGCGCAGCAGTGCCGACCTGCCACCGTATTTCTACAGTGACTGGTCGGCAAGAAGTTAAAGTCCTAACTTTTCAGCCGGCTAGCACTGGGGTCCAGTTATACTATTGCTGCACATGAGTACAGTCCCAATCACATGTTGCAGGGAGAAAATAAGGCTAAAAGATTGCTGTATGTTCACTTCCTAAAGATCTCAGTCTACCTCTAGCAGCAGATAGTAAATCCCCACAGCAGCAGCTCACCAGTCCCCGCGATGTTGCAGCTCATCATCCAGACACACCCAGCAATTTGTCCGCTCTCTGCTATGAACTCAGTTGATTCTGGCTGTTGCCACCCCCAAACTCAGCACTCTGTATCCTGCTCAGGCCACCAATATGCAGCAGTAATGGTTCACATTGGACAGCAATGTGCACTCTCTGGTCTCCCTCATTATTCTATTCTCCTAACGCTTAGCCAACAGCTAGCTACCAAAACTAACAGAAGCATCACTTTGGTTCATTCCAAAACTGAATTTACTTTTGTGACTAGTTCTGTAAAACAGCAATACAATTACATAAACGGAAATTACAATATGCTTGTAAACATGTCTCTTATAAATGCTTACAATGAACACATTTCTTACAAATGGCTATCTATAAATAACATTAAATGAATTAAAAAGCAACCTAGATATATATATATATATATATATATATATATATATACCTTTAACAAACACAGTGAAAGAACTTACAGACATATGCGTATCAAAGGGGGAATGGAGGAGACTTTCACTGGTGTTCTTCAGGAAGCTAAAATGGTTGCAGTGGTAGATGGCATGAGGCACTCCCTGTTCTTTATTGTCAAAAATACAAAGAGGGCAATTGCAGTGAACGCCCAATAGATGGCCTCCATACTCAACACAATATGAATACAGAACACTCATGGGAAGAGGAAGATACATCCTGTCCTGTACAGCCTAGAAAATGTAGCTCTTTCCCCTCCTCCCAGAAATCTCTCTCTGAGGAATGTAGTTCAAAAGTTTTTGATTACAGTACAGTCTCTCGCCTCTGGACTACAGTTCCCACAGTACAGTGCTGCCTACCTCAGTCTATTAAACTCTTCCTGCCCAGCTGCTCCCTTCTCTCAATGATACAGCTGTTAACCAAATAAGCTGCAGCCAGTGTTTCTATCACTCTCCATTCTTAGCCAAGCATCTGGCTATACAATTAGAGTGTCCCCCGCTGGCTGTTGTGATGCCTCCTGCCGACCCCTATGTCAACAGAAGACACAACAGTGATGTGGAGTTCAGTGGGAGGAACCACTAAGCGTGCAGATGACCAAAGAGATCAACACTGTTGGAACGTCAGTGGAATACTTCCTTTGAACAGAGAGATACACTACATTGCAAAAGTATTGGGACGCCTGCCTTTACACGCACATAAACATTAATGACATCCCAGTCTTAGTATGTAGGGTTCAGTATTGAGTTGGCCCACCCTTTGCAGCTATAAAAGCTTCAACTCTTTTGGGAAAGCTGTCCACAAGGTTTAGGAGTGTGTCTATGGGAATGTTAGACCACTCTTCCAGAAGCACATTTGTGAGGTCAGGCACTGATGTTGGATGAAAAGGCCTGGCTCACAGTCTCTACTCTAATTCATCCCAAGGGTGTTTTATCTGGTTGAGATCAGGAAGTTCTTCCACCCCAAACTCCATTGTTCATGTCTTTGTGGACCTTGCTTTGTGCACTGGTGCACAGTCATGTTGGAACAGGAAGGGACCATCCCCAAACTGTTCCCACAAAGTGGGAAAGGCGGTCTGATTATGTCCATATTTCTGTGCTCAAAGCTGTACATTTTTTTGCATGGAAATATGTATTTTTTTTTTTATTGTAGGCCTGTAATTTTTAGGAATAACTCACTGAAATCTGTACGAACAAGAGTCTAGTAAACATCCCGGGTATGATAAAATTTGAAACACAAAATCATAAATTATAATACAATATATAATCATAAAAAATAATAATATAATAATACTAAATTTAATTGAATAATATAATCAAACCAAAAAAACTGACATTTGAAATATAGCGCCAAGTTCGCACATCACTGAGCAAAGTCGCAAAATCGTTTCTGATGACGAATTTCCCCACAAATCATTATCACTCAATTCTGCAAGTGGTTCTAATTTACTATCGCTGTTCTCTAGCTGGTCTAAAATGGCTTTTGACATAAAGGGACGTTTTTTGGACGCCATGGACATTTCTCAGTTTCAGGCAGAAAGAACAGTAAAAAATGCAGGCAGGGCACAGGACAAAGCACTCGGGACAAAAAGTATGTGAAATGGTTTGATACAGTAATGGAATACTATGTGATTTTAGTGATTTTAGTAAATGTCACTTTTTGTCATTTTCAAATTTCCCGCTGTTCCGTCCCCCATACGTCCCGACGCTCGCAGGGGACTGAACCCAGATGACAGATGCCGGCATCTGCCTGATTACATTGCCGGGGACACTGCAGGAGGGACATCGCGCGGGGAGTGCAGGACAAGGTAAGTGATCGAGGGACCGCGGAGCAGCGCCGCATGGTAAGCCCGAGTGTAGCTCAAGGTTACCACTTGTGGTACTGAAACTTTACCCCGAGCTACACTCGGGAATATCGCCAAGGAGGTTAAGAGATCCCTTCACTGAGGGCCAAGCCCAACCCCTGTAAAACAACCCCACACCATAATTTCCCCTCCACCAAACTTTACACTTGGCACAAGGTTTGGATGCAGCTGCTCGGCCATAGAAACCCATTCCATAAAGCTCTCTATGCACTGTTGTTGTGCTAATCTGAAGGCCACACAAAGTTTGGAGGCCTTCAGCTATTGACTCTGCAGACAGTTGGAGATTTCTGCGCACTGTGCTCTTCAGCATGTGCTAACCCCGCTCTGTCATTTTACGTGGCCTACAACTTCATGAGTTTCTGTTGTTCCCAGTTGCTTCCATTTTGTTATAATACCACTAACAGTTGACCGTGGAATATTTAGTAGCATGGAAATTTTTTGGATGGACTTATTGCACAAGTGGCAACCTATCACAGTACCACGCTTGAATTCACTGAGCTCCTGAGAGCGACCCATTCTGTCACAAATGTTTGTAGAAGCAGTCTGCATGCCTAGGTGCTTGATTTTATACACCTGTGGCCATGGAGGTGATTGGAACACCTGAATCCAGTGATTTGGAGGGGTGGGGGTGTCCCAATACATTTATCAATATAGTGTATGTTCTGATGTTGGAGACAGTGGATATCAATCTCTTCATTTGAAGGTAGACCTGTTTGTTTGTTTTTTTTTCTGTTACCAACAGGATTGCTTAAAAAAGCTGCTGCACAGGACCTGTTAGCTACTTCTGAGCAAACACATATCCATATTTTTTGCTGAGCTAAGCATACTTAAGTAATGTCATTTAATGTTAATGATCTATCAGTTGTGTGTTTCTAGGTTCCTAATTCCTGTTCTTTCTCTTGTCTTGACCATTGATGATATTCATACAGATATGGAAACTTCAAAGCTCTTGCCTTATTGATTTAATACATACACTTCTTAGCATTACATTGTATCTTTGAACTTGGATGGATTATCAGCTAAAATAAATCTGAAATCATTTCATTAGACTAACTTCAGGTGATTAAAGAACTATTTCCCAAACCTAAAACAGATGCATAGTGTTCAAGGGCAAAAAGAAAAACATCTGTACGAGTTGACAGGTTGGTAACATGACACATAATAGAGGTTTAATATAAAAAAGTTCATGTTCTGACATTTGCATACAAGGCTTTACTTGCCCTGTCCTTTTCAGATTTCATTAATGATGGGAGCTCATCACACTCATTTCCCTTTTTTTACACAAGATCTCACTGAACACTCACACAAGTTATTTTATGGCTACAGAAATTACCTAAGGCTCTGATGCAAAAAAAAGACAGGCCTCCAATCTTATGCCCATCTTTGTCATTTTCATTAAGCTTTTGGGATTGAATGAGTTTGGCCTATTAATGTATATCTTCTCATAGCCCTTTAGCTCCTATATTAAACAGCCCAGCTTCACCTTGGGTCGTACCCCTAGAAATTGTATGTGGTGTACGAATAAAGTATTTCAAATTCCTGATTTTTGTAATGACCAGGGCATCTTGTCGAGTCAAACATTGCAAGAAAAACTTCAACTACCTCTTGCAAAAAATTATAGTTACACACAGATAATGAATTTCGTACAGGCTCTAGACCATCATTCATATTTAGTATATGACGCTATTGGAGCATCTTTTTGCATCAATGCAAAAACATTGACGAGATTTACAGCCATAAATCAAGATTTGGATGAAGATTTAGATCTTAATAAATGGAATAAATTGGCCCTTAGAGCCCCTAGGTCATTTATTAACACCTCCATTATCAAAGCTTTATTCAGTTGACCAATTGAAGGTACCGAGACATACAAAATCTGATCTAATTTCTATTCCTAGTGGCAAGCATAACAATTGCTGTATCTTGGAGGTCTTCTTCTATCTCATTCACACTGATATACACAAAATTTTCATGAATAATTGTAATCTAAAAATTAGTTGTCACTCTGAATTAAAAATGCATTTATTAGTAAAAATATGGACCTTACATGGATACATTATATCTAAGGAGAATAATGAATAGCATTATATGCTGGACCTGCGGGACAGATGTAGTGGTATGGTTCACCTCTTCACATTTTATTTTCTTGCTTTTCTTTATTTCTTTTCATTCTCTCGCTTGTTCTTTTTTATTGTACTCACTTATGCATATTTATGTTTTGCCAAATTTTGTTGAATAAGATAAAGGTTCCACACACACTCTTTTGCTCATTGTCTTCAATGATCAGTCTAGGGGATGTTTGTTTTTGAAGTTTTATTGTAGAACTGGGGATAGGGATTGAGAATTCAGTATAAAATACTGCAAAATTAGAACTATTCACAACCGAGGACATCTAGCTGATCTTAGTTGTGTACTGTTGAAGTCCTGGCTGAAAGCAGATAGCAGACTTCTCTTTAAAGTTTAGTAACAAGTAGTTTAGGAGTAAGCAAAGTCCCTTTTGCGGTAGTAGTAGTAGTTGCAGGGCTGAGCTCCTCAGGTACAGGGCTGTGGCAGTCCAGAAGTTACAGAACTGAGAAAAGTCCTTTGCAGTAGCAACAGTTGGATAGGCTCTTTTTCTCAGACCCACGCTGATTATTAGGCATCAGAAGGGTAGCAAAACACACAGAGTCCCCAAGATCTCTCAGTGTCTGTACTAACAAGCCTAAGGACAGAATGGCAACCTCCTTCCAATCTTCCAAGTGACTCTCTCTCCAGTGATACCAGACAGATCTTTGGCAGACAGCTTCCCTCAGTCGACTTACTGTAGAACCAGGGTCCTTCTTCCTAACTTCAGGTCCTCAGGTCGCCTTCTTTTCTACTGCCCACAACTGTTCTATCTATATCTATCTATCTATCTATCTATCTATCTATCTATCTATCTATCTATCTATCTATCTATCTATCTATCTATCCTATCTATCTTAACATCCATCTCTCCCTCTCTTTCTAACTCATCCCATACCTGACCCATATTTCCAAACAATGGTACTGATCTGAACATCACTTTCAATAATTTGGCAGTGTAGGACTAACAGCCAGTAAGTGATATAATGTTCAAAAAATTTCCAACATTGCTCAATAACAAATCCTGGATCATTCCCTTTTCATTAAATAAAAGGAAACATTCCTTTCTCCACATGTATGTCATAGTCAAACATCTCCTGAGTCAGGCAGGAATGTTGGGGCAAGTCAGGGATTGCTAAGAGGTCAGGAAAATAATTTACCATACATTGTTCTTCTTGGGAGATATACTCATCTAAGGACAGCCATAGACAAGGGTCTAGAAAGAAGAAACAAGGAAGAAGCCACATAGGAGGATTAAATCTGGGCACAGTTTGAGCTGTATTCTGTGAGATTCGTGTAGCAGACTTATTGCAAAATTAATGCTTCAGAACATCACCTCTGCTGTAAAATTATTTAAACAGCTAAACCATTCTATTTCTGGGGGGAGTAATTTCATGCTACATGTAATACACAACACACCGTTGGCTTATAGATGGAAATTCATGTCTTTAATTTTTAAACAAACCTTACTGTGTATTTTGTGCAATTGAAAGGTGAGTGTCAAAATCTATAATCTATGGCAGTGTTTCTCAACCTTTTTTCAGTCATGACAATTCTGCACAATCTCGAGGCACCCTTTAAAATGCTGCACAATCTCGAGGCACCCTTTAAAACTCTGCACAATCTTGAGGCACCCATTACAAAGTCTAAAAAACGAAACAAATAGTTTTACAGAACACAGCAATATCTGCACATGTAGGGCACCAAACGTTAGAGGTGATTTTTTTCTTCCAAAGCAAATACACTTTTGCACACTGGTACTGACTAGTATTCCATTGTTTCTCTTCTCTCTCCGTTTCTCTCTCTCACACAGCTAGTGTGACCCCAGTTCTTACAGAGAGGGGCAGGGAAGGGGAAAGTAAGGATGCTGTGTGGTGCCCTATCTCCTTCTTATCAACTGATGATGTCATTGGTTGTTATGTCACCAGTGGCTAGAAAATTGTAATGGTGCACAATGAAAACCTGTGGTTTTGTGTAACTAAAAGGCAAGCTTGGTCCCCCTACTGGCTTGTACACAATTTTTGGGCAATTTCTGGGCATTTTGTCAAGGCACCCCTGAAGAAACCTGAAGGCCCCCAGGGTGCCTGGGCACCCTAGGTAAAAAAAGACTGATCTATGGCATAGCTACTATCAGTGGTGTTTCTTTGTGTCAAAAAAGCTTGTGCAGTTTTGGAACTATTATCATGAGAGTCAAAAAAGCCACAGTTGAACTCAGGGGCATAGATGGTAGACTGCAGCCTATTTTCAAACCACTACTTGACATAAACTTTTCTCCCTGCTTCCATTTAGGTAACATCAATCATTTGTGACATTGCCTGGATAAGACTCAAGTATATAGACTCTGTAAATACTCCATGTGGACATAGATCAGTAGCAGCTAGCATTGGAGCACATGGTGGTACTGGTGCTAAATATGACCATATGCAGAGGTGTAGCTTGAAGCTTGTGGTCCCCGATGCAGACGTTGACCTGGGGCCCCCCACTATGAAACCCATTATACTTGGTGCACTTCCACCACACACCAAGACACACCCATCACATGCCAAGATACGCCAAGTGACTAAAGAGTTATTTCAGAGAGTTATTTACACATTGACAGGGTCATTCAAAAGATTTTGTAGAAACTGCCCAATTTTGACATAGTTTCTCCTTGCACTCTAAAGGTGAATTCTGCAAGCTCTGATGCAAAGGTGAAGTATGAGGATACTAATTTAAGGGGGTAAGCTTGGCACTCTGATGTGGGGGGAGGGACACTGTTGACCACAGACCACCTTCTGCAGTTAATACACTAAAATAGGGGGGTTACTGGTATAAGGGGTAAGCTTTATATCAGTGTCCCCCTCCTTACCCTCGTGTATTTACTCCCCTCTTACATCACTGACCTTACCCCCCAACAGACTGTGTGACCTCTTGGCTGCAGCTGTTGTGTTGTTCATACTAACCTCCATAATTGTTAACAGGGCA